TGTGAAGAGCAAAAATGACTAAACTTAATGAAGGCATTTTATGCTTGTAAATACCTTATCCGGTCCTTCAAAATCATCAAGAAATGTCCTTTATGAGACATGGTTTAGAAGAATCACAGAAATTAAGAGCTGGGTGAGACTTAATAGGTTTCCTTGCACGTGTTCTTTCTCTGAATCAATACAGAACTGACTCATGGAGTACATTTATTTTTTAACCAGTTTATGGTTCCCTTCAGGGCAATAAAGCACTATAATAGACAAAAGGGTCACAGTCTATACCCTGAATCAAAAGGTCAGCATTTCTTGCCACTAAAAGAGAGACACCAAATAAGATTTTTTTCCCCTCTCTAATGTAAGGAAATATTCTGAGTCTTGAGATTTGTTTCAAGTTTGTAATTTGTGCATGAGCTGGGTGTGAATTGCCCATAACGTGAGTAAAATTTTTAGTTCAATGAACGGTTCAAAAATTGCCGCCTTCGCTAGAAATGGCAAGAGGAGGGACCAAAACACACAAATAAACGAATCCCCTAAACCTTAGCCAAAACCATTCTTTTTTTTTTTTTTTTAAAGATTTTATTTATTCATTTGACAGAGAGAGAGACAGAGAGAGCACAAGCAGGGGGAGCGGCAGGCAGAGGGAGAAGCAGACTCCCCTTGGAGCAGGGAACCCGATGCAGGGCTCGATCCCAGGACCCCGGGATCATGACCCGAGCCAAAGGCAGACACTTCACTGACCGAGCCACCCACACACCCCAGCCAAAAACATTCTTATGGTTTCCTGCAACTGTGTGAACAAGCAGAGCATACCAGAGACCTAAGTGTAATCTCACCTTTTGCTGCATGAACAAGTACTAAATCATGATAAAAATTCATGGCAGAGACTAGGACAGGAAAGAGAGGAAAGAACATAAGCTGCATACCTCACATAGAATCTATGAGTCCGCAGGAAAGGCATCAACCTGTATAGGCAAGTCTTTCTTTTGCTTCCCTGGTGCCTGCTTACCTCCCCCTAGCCAATGTGCTAATCGTGGTACAGCAGGCTCGGCTTTGTACTCAGCGATCCTCTTTCACTCACGTCCCCCCGACCACCCCAAATACCAAAAAGCCAGAGAAGGACATCAAATAAAAGCCACAGAAGCTGATAAAAGCACTGTCCACCAGCTGTGACATCAATACCAAGCTTCTTATACTCCCTAGTAATGCACCCCTCCCCTGGCTTCCAGGCCCACGGTATGATGATAGAATGAGTGAATGAAGGCACCAAGTAGGAGAGGATCTTCCTTGCTCCTTAGATCTATTTTTCTCTTCAGTCATCTGACTTTCTGACCCTCACTCTCTTTCTTCCCATCTCACTTCTCCTAAAACCCTCGCCACAGTAATTCTCTGACCCCATTTGGACCTTGGATGCCACGAACCTATTGCTTTTTCACTGTTCATTGCTACTTATTCAGCTTGGAATCCGTGATCTATCAGCACACTCCCTCCTCTGAAAATGCCTTCAAATCCCATGATCCTCTCTTCCTCAGTTAAAATCACCTGCAGACATCCTAACCCTGGTTAATCCTACTCTTCTCACGCTTCCAAGAGCTGAATGGGACTGGAGCCCGAGGCCTCCATAACTAGTTTCGCTTTGAAATTTAGGACCACTCCCTTCCGCTCTGAGAAAACACAATGTTCTCTCTCATCTAACTTCCAATTTTGAATCCAACTTCTAATCTAACTTTCGAGTTCCCATCTAACTTCTTCACATCATTCAAATGATCACTTAAACATTTTTTTCAGAGGAACCTTCCCTTATCACCTCAACGCAAATAGCCTCTCCCCCAACACACTTCATTCCCTCGCTTTGCTTAGATCATCTTCGTAACGCTTCTCACTACCTGACGTCCCACACACATGTATACATATATATGTACAAATATACATAAATGCCATAGAGACAGGGAGTTTTTTCCGTCTCTCACCTTCAACACTATTATTTTGTGTAACGTAGGTTTTGTTGTGGGGCACTGCCCTGTGCCTTGTGCGACGTTTAGCAGCATCCGTGGCCTCTACTCACTATATGCCAGGGGCACCCATGTTAGCTATGATGGTCAAAAATGTCTCCAGGCTTATCAAATGTTTGCAGGAGCCCCAAGGGGAAAAATGGCCCTGATTGAGAACCATTGCTCTAACGCAATGCCTGGCCCACAGTGGGTGCTAAATGAACATTTGATGAATGAATGAACGACTGAATCATAGGTCACAAAGAAGCCCCAAGAATTAATATAATTTATCGCTCTCACTTCCAGCAGAACCATGTTTAAGTCTTACCAGAAAACGCGAACTTACTTTGTTTTAGGGGGAAAGAAAGGATCTTGTGCCAAGCGTTCTCAACCCTGACTACATGTTTTAATCACCAGGGGAAGCTTTTGAAAAACTACTGATGCCAGGCTCCTCTCCAGAGCAATTAAATCAGAATCTCAGGAGGTGGGGTCTAGCCTAGATCATTTTTAAAACCTCCTCTTATGATTCTGATTTGCAGCCAAGGTTCACTTCCTGTTCTTTTCAACCCTCCAAAGACTAATTCCATAGCATAGCGATCGTCAGCAGATAGGACATTTCTCCTCACACGTCTACACTGGCGACCAGTGCTTTTGAAAGGAAGGAAAGTGTATGTGAGCATAGTAACTTCTTGCTCCATTTATATCTTCTATTCCCTGCCCTATTGTTGGTCCATGTTCATCCTAAATAAAACAATTTAAAAATTAGTGTTCTAGGGGCACCTGGGTGGCTCAGTTGGTTGGGCGACTGCCTTCGGCTCGGGTCATGGTCCTGGAGTCCCGGGATCGAGTCCCGCATCGGGCTCCCTGCTCAGCAGAGAGTCTGCTTCTCCCTCTGCCCCTGCCCCTCTCATGCTCTCTCTCTCTCTATCTCATTCTCTCTCTCAAATAAATAAAATCTTTAAAAAAAAAATTAGTGTTCTACTCTTGGTCATTAGTTCTGATAATTAGGAAAATTGTATTACCTTGCTATTTTCTTTGGTAGTAATAGTTTTGCTATGCTGTCATATTGGGACCAGATATTATAAAGGCCTTAAAATAGTACTGTGTGAAAGTCTTGATTTATAGTAGCTCACATACTAAAAACAAAAGGATTATAGACACGGATGCCTGAAGCAGAACCCACAGTGAAGCAGGGTTAGCACTACAAATTAGAGAGGTCCACCAATATTTATATATTTATATAACATATGATGGTCTATTAGTGAGAACATTAATAACTGTGATTTTAAGTGTCTTATTCAAGTACACAGAATTTTTCATTCCCAAAGTGGTACCTCATAACTTGAAAAATGAACTCTGGTTCTCAAAGATGAATAGTTCTGAAGTGAACTAAATACTTTCTCATTCTAGAAAAGGTTTCTTATGGGAGTTACCTGTTTCCCTGTGATTGCAAAACAAGTAGGCATAATACCTGTCACCATATTGCAATAACTTTGGTACGCAAAATATCCTGAGAAAGGAGGAACAGTCCTCCTCTATGAAGCTTTTCTGCAGTAACTCGGACATGACGCACAACTTAGGAGAACCCGGTAACAAAGTGCACACAATCAAGTAAACAGGCCAATTTGGTTCAGCCTAGCTCATAAGATGAGAGCAGAGAATGCAGAGGCCTGAGATTCAGAAGCCCTGGGGTCCGGTTAATAACCACGTGCCCTTGCCCAAATTATGGCGCCTCTCTGAGCTCCAGTTTTACTTGTAAAATAAGAGTTGGACTAGAATACTAATGAAACTTCCAACTTTGATTTAGAAGAGTAAAATCGAATAGCGGTTGTGATAAGCTGAGTAATGCATCCCCTGCCACCCCTACTCCTGCCCCACAAAAGATGTCCACATCTGCAAATCCCTGGAACCTGTGAATATGTTATCTCACATGGCAAAAGGCACTTTGCAGAGATGATGGAGTTCAGGACCTTGAGAGAGAGACAGAAGGAGAAGACATGAGGATGGAAGTAGAGGTCAGAGAGGAGAAAAGATACTAAATTGCCAGCTTTGAAGATGGAGGAAGGGGTCATGAGCCAAGGAATGCAGGCAGTTTCTAGAAGCTGCAAAAGGCAAGTAAATGGATTCTCCCCTAGAGCCTCCAGAAGGAACAAAGTCCTGCAGACCCACTTTAGACTTCCGACCTCTAGCACTGTGAATTAATAAGTCTGTGCCGCTTCGAGCCACTAAATTTATGGTAATTGGTTATAGCAGCAATAGGAAATTAATTTAGGTTGAGAAGTTGGGTGCTACTATCAGACTATTTGAGTTTAAATCCTTCTTCTATTATTCACTGGATAGGGGAACTTCCACAAATGACTTCAACTCTCTGTACCTCAGTTTCGTCTTGAAAAATGGGATGATATGGTACCAGCACCAAACCTGCTGGGTTATTCTGAGTTTACGTGAGGAAATCCTGAGGATCATCTGGAACTTAGTATACTACCTTTAGATAAATGTAATCATTGTTCTGCCAAATTTTATAATTTAGGATATTAGCACCTCGTTTCCTATAAATCAGTTATTTCTTTTTATGTAGTCACTGAGGAGGACGGGTGTAGGAGCATTCACTTTTAAGAGTTATGTATATAACATTTCATTTGATTCTTACAATCAACCGTGAAATAGGTATATCTCTCAGTTTTCATACGAGGCTTTGGGAGGTCAATTCACCCAAGTAACGCAGCTAGTAAGTGAAGAAATCAAAGCGGTTGTTCATTGTTACATTAACTGCACTTATTGGCTAGATGATGATGAAAGAATGTGTGCACATAAACACTGCAGTGGGCACTCAACCAATACTGCGCAGTCTAGACTAACACTCGGTCACCGCATCTGACCCACACCGTCACAATCCCCAGCGCTGCATCACCCAACCCTTGTTTCCAGAAAGGTCGGAGGCAAAAGACAGACGCCTCCCATCGCGCAGAACCCTGCCCGCATTACCGACAAGGCGGCGCCGTTACGACACAAAGGCGGAGCCTTCGTGGGGACCGCCCTGGTATATAAATGGGGCGGGGCCTCCCCGGAGGCCATTGCGCGGCCGCTGAGTTCGACCCGCCCGCCGCTCCGCCCCCCGGGAAAGTCGGTGCCACCATGGAGGAGTACCACCGCCACTGCGACGAGGTACCGCCCCTCGGCCGCCCGCGGACGACCCCCGCCCCCGCCCGCCTCACCGAGGCGTCTCGGTCGGGTGGTCTCTCGGCGCCGGGCGGCCCCGAGAGTCGGGGTGCGGCGCCCTCCGAGCCCGGGTCCACCCCTCCCCTCCGGGCCAGGACCCGCCCCGCCTGGCCCGGCCCCGGCCCCCCGACCCCCCGACCCGCCGACCCCGAGGCCCTGAGGGTGGGCTGAGAGTCGGGGTGGCTGGGGCGTCTGGGAGCACGCGGGGCGGGCGGGGAATCGGGGCCGAAGGGTGGAAGGCCGGACTCGGGGTGCGTGGGGTGGGGATGGGGTGTCGGGCGCCGCCCGTCTGAGAGACGGGCCTTAGAAACCTGTCTGCCCGGCGGCTTCCTCCGCCCCTTTGGCGTCCCCGAAGCAGGTGCCGCAGCCTGGCGAGCGAGGCCCTGATGGCAGAGCCCCTCCGCGGCACTCTCGCCTGGGTGGGCTGGAAGGAGGTGCTTCATGGATTACGAGCCCTTGCTTACTGACTCAGGCTTCCCGGCACCTCACCAGAACCCCATGATGTCAGTTGTTATCTTCCTGTTACTGATGGGGACCCTGACTTTCATGGCGACTACGTGATTTGCCCAGAGTTAAAACTGCCAGGAATGACAGATGCTCCATTTGAACTCTACAACCCTGGCTCCACTTAACCTTTAGGAGGGTAAGGCCTTTTGGATCCCAGCATAACCTGTGACAGGCCTGAAGGGCAGAAGAGACAAAGACATTTTCTGTCCAGTGGTAGCCACAGGTGAATGATGTAGTGAAATGAAAGTAGGCACCTGGAGGAGGTGCCACAGAAAATGGTGTGTTATTAGACCCCTGGAAAGGGCTTGCGGTCCATCCAGCTGTAGGTGGGATTCTGCTGAAGCTACAACCACACTTAAATTCATTAGTTCTGTGATGCAGGTGGCACACAGACTTGTAGGTTAGTGGGCAAGTATTCTTCTTTTAGAAATTGAGGCACAAGCACTTTCACTCTCAGACAGATCCCCCCGACAAGTGCTAGTCTCCTGACTCCTAAGAGGGTTCTGTACTGCAGTACTTCCTAAATATATTTAAAAAGAAATAAAATTACATGTGTTACCATGGCCACCCAGTACGACCTGATTATTTGGTGACCTTCCAAATCGAAGTGAAATGGACATCACTTAATCTGTAGGCCACTTTTGAAAATCGATAATGGCCTTATTTTAAGGTAAAATGGTAATTTTGAGAGGGTCAAAATGTGAGAGCTGTCTTCGCAATCCTCATTATTTAGGATTTTATTCCTTTGTTGTTGGGGAATTCTCTGATGTAATTAAGTGAGTTGAAAATATTTTAAATCTATACCCAAGATGATACTTAGTTCCAGGATTGTTTTTTGAACTAATTTTAAGTTGCACAGTGGGATTTTCAAAAATGGTGATGTCATAAAGCACCTAAAACGTCTCCATGGAAACAAATCATGTACTACCTGAAGAGTTTGGGTTTAGATTGTAATCTTATCACAATTGTAATCTAGTTCTCTACTCTAGGACACTTGGATGTCATTAATAGTTGCTTTTAACTCAGAATTCTGTCAAGCCACTCCACAGCAAAGATTCAGTTGCCAGGCCTATTATAGTATTAAAGTGACATTAATTTAGATCAAGCATTTTCATAATCTCTAACTCAGGAAAGCCCCATTTTTGCCCCGCCTAAGTTAAAAAACAAAATTGAAAACAGTATACTAATCAGTCTCTTCTCATGGACCATCTCATTCTTACTTTTCCTATATACTGATGTATGTGTGTACATCTTTATATCCTCCTCCTGCTGGTTCCTGAGCTTTACAATACAAAGATTCTCAATCTAGGACATTCCTCAAAATCACCAGTAAAGCACCGTTAAAAAAATGTGGTTGCCCAGACTGTGTCCCAGACCTAATGAATCCAAATCTCGAGGGAGGGAGGGAGGGAAAGCATTCTGCAACTTTAGAAGTGTTCTCAGTGGGATTAGCCGCCTCGGTAGAACTGACTCCCCTTATCACTATGGTCTGCTGTCACTAATACCTGCTCAGGCCAGCCTAGGGTATTCTGTGTGTCATCACAGCTATAAATAAAAGGAAGTCTGTGTTGAAAGCGGCTGTATCTTTTGTTTCCCCCCTTTAGGTTGGCTTCAGTGCTGATGAAGCACACAACATAGTTAAAGAGGTGAGTTACACATCTCGTTCATCTTGAAGCTTGCTGCACTGATTGAAATGTTAGAAAGCTCTGTTTTGACTTCCAGTACAAAGTTAGAAACCTTACTATTAAAACAAGATTTTTAATATTTACTCACTTTTTATAGGGGTGCTTCATAGAGACGGGCCTTAACAAGGTGTTTTGTTGTATGCTATCAGGCATCCTGGAGCTTACTCTGAAAGTGATATTGGAGTATTAGTCTAGAAAACTGGTTTGCTGTTTTGTAAAATTGATGTTCTGTCTTTTGAATAAAAGAAGTTTTATTCCGGTAGGCCAAATATTATTTTAAATGTTAATGCTATAGAAGTATGTGTGTGTGTGTGTGTGTGTGTATATCTCTCGCACACACACACACTTTTATATGGGTAAATTATATGTAAAATATATGTCAAAAGACCCTAGAAATATGCTTTTTTAGCCCAATTAATTGGAAAAATAATCACTTACCATCTTATAGACACTGATATGATGCTAAATCAAAACCTTAAATATTTGAAACATGAAATCTGGTCCTCCTAGTAGGCAAGTAGACAAGAAGTTCTATTTGGGAATCAGTTCTGGCAGAGACACTTGGATTACTCTAGTTGTATCACATACAGACTACATGGTGGGTAAGGTATTTATGAACACTTTTAATAGTTCTGAGTCATTTTTCACTGTGCCAAATCCTAGGGAACAAATGAGCTGGCCCAGAAGGCACCCTTGTATTGTGGGTATGGTGGCTGGGTCTGTGTCCTGGCAGGCTCTACCTGCCTTTAGTCTGGGCTGGACTGGCTTGCCCTCTGGGGCACTAAGCACCTCCTCAGTCCATCCGGAGATGGTGCCTCACCTGTCTGAATGTTCTAGGGCATGAGCTCACCAAGAACTCATCCAGGGCTCGCCTTGTACAGCTAGGATCAACCCGAGGTCTGAGAAAGCTAGACAAGCACTGGAAAATCCTGCCGTATTTTTATGGTTCAGATTCATGTATTAGAACTATGTAGGACAGCATGATGACTCCAATTAACAATACTGTATTGTATGCTCAAAACCTGCTGAGAGTAGATCTTAAATGTTTCCACCCCAAAGGCAAAAAGTGGTAACTGCATGGAGGGATGGATAATGTTAACTAACCTTATTGTGATCATTTTACAATATATCTGTGTATCAAATCATCACATTGTACACCTTGAACTGACATACTGTTGTGTCAGTTACATCTCAGTAAAGCCGGAAAAAATAAAATAACAGCAGCGGTAAGGATGATGATGATCTGTAAGGTTGCATAACTGCTTACTCTGTCTCAGTCACTGTACTTGAGCGCTTGACATTCATGATCTCACTCCCTCCTCACACCAACCTGATAAGATGAAGCTCTGATCTCTAAGGATTAGGAAAATAGGGGCTCCGAGAGGTTAAGTCACTTGCAAAAGGTCACAGTGAGTAGGTGGCAGAAGTGACCTTACACCTAAGCTTGTGATACTAAACTGGTGCTCTTAATCAGGCATCAGAAGTGGACGTGAGTGAGCACTGGAAAATTATTCAGCTGTCTTGTGCTAGAGCCCCTGAAAAGTGGTGTTTGTTGATTTACTTTTAGTAGCAGGAGGTGGTAGCTTTATAGCTAAGTAATTACATAATATAAACAAAAATGTAATTATTACACATGAGAATTCTATTTTTAAATTGGACTCCTGCTTTATTTCGAGCATCTGAAACCCAAGGTTCAAATCCCAGCTGTTTCAAAGCCAACCTTTAACCAATTAATATCACCCTTTCTTAATCTTCACTCCCCTCCATAATCCTTTTGTGACATAGCTTATCATCCTCGATTAGTCTTTCTGGTGTTACAGATTTCTTTTATTAGCTTCTCTTCTAGTTCTTTACAACAGAGGCCAAGTCCTGTTTATCTTTATATGGCCCGTAGTATCTCGTAGAGTGAGATAGTACATGCAGGAACGCCCTGAAAATTCTAAAACAGCTAGAGACAGGGCATAATAAATATTTACCAGATGCATATTTTCTAAGATGCTTTTTGGGGTTAATTTTTTTGTTTTGAATAAATTTTTGCTGTGATTTGTATATGTCTTTAACTATCCTCTGCCCTTTTAGTGTATAGATGGGGTCTTGGGTGGTGAAGATTATAACCAGAACAACATCAACCAATGGACTGCAAGCATAGTGGAACAATCCTTGACACATTTGGTTAAGTTGGGAAAAGCTTATAAATATATTGGTAAGTATCAGTGTCCTTCCTCACTAGTTTACTCCCCTTTGTCCTCACGGTCTTCTCTGAACTTAGAGAATGTAAATGAGTGATAGACAAGTTGGATTCTAATAGGATATGAAGGACTTCTGGCTTATTCATCCAAAGATAGTATTTGGTAATACCTAAAAGATGGAGATCTTTTGCTACTCAGAAGCAGTTGGAGCTCCTGCCAGCCACCTCCCTGTCCTTGGTAACAGTACCTTTTACATTTGTATCAGCTACCTCCTTCCACCAAAACCACTCAGCCCTACCGTCTCCCTGTCAGGAGCTCCGTCCTCCTTACACGTACATAGGACAGTGAGGCGCCTCATAGTAGTTGTTTGGAAAGTGTAATCTTTTCTTCATTTTTGTGTCCAGATTATGCCCATGGAGTGAGGCACGTGATTTGGCCCGGCTTTTTCTGTGGCATAATCACCAGTGGTCATGGCAATGGGCAACAGACTGGATCCAGTGGGGTCAAAATCGTGGTGGGAGATAATCAAGAGGACTTATTTTTTCTAATCTGTTTGCCGAAAGCTTCGTTTGCTGTTCTTTTTGCAGCTTGTAGAGCTCTGAACTCCAACACTTAGATATCTTAGATGTCTTTGCCTTTGTTTGTCAGTGTTCTCACGCTGCGACTTTGTTTTTAGTGACCTGTGCAGTGGTCCAAAGGAGCGCCTATGGCTTTCACACAGCCAGCTCATGTTTTTGGGATACTACATCTGATGGTAAGAGACCTTAAGCTGATTCATACAAAGTCCAACTTCTGGCAGGGTCAGACACTTATTATCAAATGCTTGTTTATCTCTAGATTTCGAAAAGGCTATCAACAGGATTGCTTTGTACCTAGCAATGAGTATGCCTTCAGACAAATATGAAATGGGAAGATTTAACAGATCGCAGGAAATAAGATATTAAAACAGATGAAAAATGTGTGTATATATATATATATTCCCTGGCAATTCTGATGTTTTGCTGATATTTCAAAGTCCTTTTTTTGTGTGTGTTTCAGGAACCTGTACTGTAAGATGGGAGAACCGAACCATGAACTGTATTGTCAATGTTTTCGCCATTGCTATTGTCCTGTGACCGACTAAAAATGTGCGGCCAAAGCCATTAACTTAAGAATTTGTCAGTGTATCCTTTCTAAAAAGAGTAGTAGTTACTAATTAATGTGTTAATGACAAGTGTGCAATATGCTTCAAAAGCTACCAATGAAAACTGAACATTATACAAGCAATCTCATAGTAAGTTGGCAGATTATCTCATGTTCTATCCGGCATCATTTAAATAGGAAAAATTTGTTGTTGGCAAAACACAAAAACAAATACGGCATGACATGAAAATATAATCTTATATTTTCACTAACATGTACCTAAGAAGATGGGGAAATCCATCCAGATAATAAAATTCTCTTTCATCCAGAGAAGTTAACAGGGATAAATATATGACCAAAAAAAAAAGATGCAAAGATAAATGTGGAGAAAATAATAACTAGCTAACACTTCTTAGTTTTTCATCTCCTCTCCTCACTTAGTTGTACATATCATTTAGTAGAAATGAATTCTGTTCGTTTTTTTCCCTACCAACTATTACTACGGTAGCAACCATCATTGACTTGTTTACTTTTTCTGAGAATTGTCCAAACAGTTTTTTAAATTTAAAATTCTTGGATTTACATTTGAGAGCCAAATAAATCTGGGAACCTGAATTCCCTAGTTCAGCAAAATTCGGGACAGTGTCTGCTGAAAGGTACATGACACTGACAGCTGACTCACAACTGGCTCATTTCACATAGAGCCAACATTTATGGAATCCCTATTATATGCATATTTCTCTCTTAGCATTACAGTTATCAATGTACTGTGCAAATGCTGAGTTACTTTTGGCACCTGTTCAGTTGGACAGCTAACATGCTTGGGGAAGAAAGAATTGTTTGACAAGAAGAAAATGAATCTGGTTATCCATGTAGAAATAAGCAAAATGAAAAGCACTTATTGCTGACAGAGAATTTTCGATGTCATTTTAAGCATTGCTCCTAGCAAGTAAAAAAATGCAAAGAATATGCAACTCTTAGTTAAAGGCCTTACTAAGCAGTGTGACTATACAGATAGTCAATTTTGTCGTTGCTTTAGTTACAACCATCTGTAAATAATTCAAATACTTATGACATGGGGTTCAAATTGAGTGGAGTCAAGTATAAATTAAAAGTATACAATCATTAGCAGGTTAATGAATATCTCAGGGCTTATGAAATGTAGTTAAATTTATTAAGAAAATAGAAGATGAAAAATTAGGGTACACAGCTGGTCGCCAAACGCGAAGTCAATCTGGTTACTTAGCCTGGAAAACAAAATTAATTTTGCATATTACCACTAACACTAATATACATAGGGAGGGGAACCACGATTCATTGCATTTTGAGGGGAAAGGCAGGCTTAGTATTAGTACTGACAATATTAAGATAGTGATAGTATTCTTGTAGGAATACTATGTGCATGTTTGATATATTGCTGAATAATTGTTCAATGTTTAAGAAGAATATTAAGAAAATACCAGGATAATTTCATGGGGGTGATCTACATGTCTGGCACGTCAAAAATTCTCACAGCCATTACCTTTCTTTTACGTGGCGCTGTTGGCTTTTGTGCCTTGAAGATTATATTAGTGACCAAAATATCTGTTCGGTTAAGGCTTGCTTTTGATTATTGTTATTGAAGCCTGATTTTAAAGGAATAATAATCAAATATACCTCGTGAACTTGCTATCTGCTCTGTTTTTATTTAAAATACAATAAAGATTAGCTTCCTGCGCTGTGCTTTTCACTTCTTGCGTGATCATTGAATAGTTAAAGAAATGGCATTGTGCTTACTCTAAAAAATTCTAAAGGAATAAGGGAAAAAATAAAAAAAAGAAAAAAAGAAAAGGAAATCTAATAAACTATGGATTTTAGTTAATAAAAAAAGGAATAAGGGGAAGGAAGGTCAGACCACATAGATAACAGCATACAGAATAAGGGAAAAAATAAAAAAAAGAAAGAAAAGGAAATCTAATAAACTATGGATTTTAGTTTAAAAAAAAAGGAATAAGGGGAAGGAAGGTCAGACCACATAGATAACAGCATACAGAATAAATACCATTAAAATAGCAACCCAAACCCAAGTGTTCAACATTACAACATAATAGCTTCTGTTTTATGCCTTTTACTCTGTGATCTTAACACAAAATTTCACTTTTAAAAAGTCCATGTAAAATACATTCTGTAACTATTTATTAGCTTTTAATGACTAGTTTTGGCAAGGAATTGTGTCCTGTTTGTCAACCTTCAATTGAGTTGTTGCTGTTTTGTTTTTTTTTAATTAAAGACTTCATGTAAAATTAATGTATTCAAATGTAAGTACTACCTCGGATTTTGGTAAAGCTGCAGTTTCAGGTTTGTAAAGTGCCGGTATGCTGCCTTAAATTGATAGCAACAGCTCATTACATTTTCTCTAGTAAAATGTACTTTTTTGCTCTTCTCCCCAAGCTGGTTGTTATCTAATTATGAGTCACTGAAAGCATTTCACCACCTACAGTCATCATCACATTTTTAAAGTAATCATACGATACTGCAGATTTTATTTTCAAAGTTTGAGTAAAAAAAAACCAAAAACCCTCGTCTGTTCCTGATAAGTCTCTTAAAAGTGGGAGAAAACTCTGACTTTTTATGACAAAAGAAGTTCTTTCATATAGCGGACACCAAAGCAAAGTTTGAGAGATGGATTGAAAATTGCACCCCATGTGTTAGAATCTACCCAAGGGGAATTTGTTTTAAAATCCAGAAGGTGGAGCTACATTCGTGGCTAGAAAGATTCAGGAAAATTGACTTTTGTGTATTTATGAAATTCCCTATAAAAGGATCTTAAACACTCTGCTCTTGCAAGATCTAGATGGCCATCATCCATAGACATTAAATGGTTCAGGTGATTCTAGTCCACCATGTTTAGTTGGAACCCTGTAATTCTCGCTGAGGTTCCACCTAATGTCCCTCTATGTCATCCTTGGCTATGTAGGATATATGGACAATCCAGGACTACTTAGAAACGACCCGCACTGCTTTGTGAAAAGTGTCTCTTTCCAAAATGGTTTCTAAGGATCCCAGGGACGAAGCTGGGACTTTGAATAGACACTTGTAGCACCACTGGTATGATATGTATCTTCCCTACAGGACATGAAACGTGGCCAACTCCCCCCCCCCCCCCCCCCCCCCCGCTCTGGGATCCTTTAAAGGTATAAACTATATGGGGAAGTTTCTTTGTAGCTCTGCCTCACGAGGTCAGGGAATTTGATGCCTAGGCTTATCAAGTAATGTCTATTCGACTTCCTTCATGCCAAAATACATACCTTTTTATTTTACTGAATGCTTCATCTTTTTAGGTACTTTTTTTTTTTTTTATGAACACCAGCCTTTAAGGAGATATTTCAGTCTGGGTTTCTCAGGGCAGAGTTTTACACAAGCCAGTAATGAAAGTTCTGTCAACTCATTTTCATCCCCTCTAATACCTTACAGAGGAAATCTGCATGAAAATTATTAGATTTTGGCATGTAGTGACCTTTCATTTTGTAGGCCAGGAATTTGAGTTAAGCTGCATGAGCGAACATAGCCTTTCATAGTTAATGCTCATACAGAATACCACCCAAAATGATCAGGGTTAGAATAATGGTTTCTTAATAAAGCAAATTTTTTTTCTGTAAAGGGTCATCTAGTAAATATTTGAGCCTTTGCAGGCCTTTGCAACTACTCAGGTATGCCAGTTGCAGAATGAAAGCAGCCACAGACAATGAGTAAGTGGATGGGTGTGACCGTGTCCCAGGGAAACTACAAAAACAGGTGGCAGGCTCGCAGAGTTTACCAACCCCTGCGTTAAAGGAAGAAGTGTTTCCTGGCCACTTCAAAAATTAGATGTTAATGGATCTGAGAACTTTTTTTTTCCTTTTATTGTTTTCAGTTACACACAAAGGGACACAAAGCATTTTTATATATTATGTTTTTATTATCTTGGACTCAGAGGGACCTTATCAGTAAGCCCAACCTGTACTCTCTTTACAAAAAGAAAGAAGGGCTATAAATCAACTTTTCCAAAACTAAAGTATTCTTTTTTTGAAATACATCACCTAACTTTTCACTAGTCGACAGATCCTTTTATATCTTATTGGAGTTCATTTTACCACCTTATTTTAAAGAATGTTATTGTAAAAGTCAACATTTTGTGTTTTATCAATTTTTGCTTTTTTTGTGGTGAAGATTCTCGAGAATCTTCCACGCATACCAGACCTGGTAGTCATGGCCCATTCAATGCCTCCTGTTAGCAGAAATCACATACGAGGAAGTGCATAGCCCACAGCTGAAATAACCCTGCCTCATAATTTGGGAAAGGGGATGTTCTTTACCCAGGATGGCTATGTATTGCATTGGCATGAACACCTGACCCAGTGATGGCTTATCCATAGACTGATTCTTAATCCACGAGATGGCTGGGGTACATTAAGTCAAGCAAAGTAGTTCCCTCTGTGGATCAGAAAATAAGGAGCAGTAGTCAACAGGAGGAAAAGGGAGCAGAGAGAGAAGCAAAAGTCTCGTCAAAGATTGGTGGCAGAATGGTCACCACAGCTTACCCTCTCCCCTGTCTACCATCCTTCAATCCCTGGAAGACAGACCAAACTCCAGTACCAGAGTGGTGTATTAGGCCGGGAGCAGGTTGGTGGGAATGGTCTGGCTTAGAATCACTAGCATGGGGTGATAAAAAGAAAGAAAAAAAACCTGCACACAAATGTTCCTAACAGTTTTAATAGTAATAGCAAAAAAAAACTAGAAACCACTTAGATGTCCTTCAGTGGGTGAATGGTTTAACCAACTGTGGTACCTACATGAAATAATACTCAGAAAAAAAGGAATACATTATTGGTACAAGAACTTGCATGAATCTCAAGAGAAGTGGGCTGAGTAAAAAAGTCCTAAAAGAATACATAATAAATGATTCCATCTATATAACATTTTTGAAACATTTTTTAAAGATTACTTAGAGAGAGAAAGCACATAAGTCGGGGGAGGGGCAGAGGGAGAGGGAGAGAGAGAATCCTCAAGCAGACTCCCTGCTGAGCATAGAGCCTGATGCAGGTCTCAATCTCATGACCCTGAGACCATGACCTGAGCTGAAACCAAGAGTCGGACGCTTAACCAACTGAGCCACCCAGGAGTCCCTTGAATCAACACTTTAAAAACTGGAGAACCGACTAGTGGGTGCCAGAGTGTAGAGATAACAGGCAGGAGGGAGGTAGGTGTGGCTATAAAAGGCCAGCATGAGGAATCCTTGTGGGGTTGGAACTGTTCAGTATCCTGGCTGTGGTAGGTGGACACACAGATCTACATGTCATAAAACTGTGTAGAACTGAGTACACACAGATGAGTACAAGTAAAATTGGGGAAATCTGAATAAGGTTGATGGACTCATCAATGGCAATACCCTAGGTGTGATAGTGTAGCATAGGGTTACAAAATGTTACCATTGGGGGAAACTGTGAAAAGGACACAGGGGAGCCATCTGTATTATTTCTTATAACTGCATATGAATCTAAAATTACATCAATAAAAATTTCAATTAAAAAATGAAGATGAAACAGACAATTTCATGTTAAAAAAAAAAAACATTTAAAAAGGCAGATCAACTTTTGGTTGGTTTTCCTGACTCTAAATTCTCTACCAACAACATGCCCCCTTATTGCTTGCTCCCAGGGATGACCACTCCCACTACTCCCCAGGATACACCACTAGATAAAGACGTACTAAAAGAAAAAGATTCCAGAACAGCCAAGCTGCTCTGTAATAAGCCAGTCTCTTAATCTGGAAAATTCTGTGTCGACTCCCTTAAATTTGGGCTCCTGAATGATTTGTTGTAGCAGGGATACAATTACACTTAGACCAGACAAGTGTTAGTTTTCCATAAAGTCTATCACAAGCATGGAAGAGGGCTGAATTATTTCCAAAAACATCGGGGTACTTCTTTTGCATACTATATTCTATTTATCCATTTATCAGTTGATGGAAATTTGGATTCTTAGTTTTTGATGCTATGAAAATGCTGTCTTGAACATTTGTGAACAAGTTTCTACATGGACGTACATTTTCAATTTCCCTTAGGTATATGCTTAAGAGTGTAATTGTTGGGTCATATGGTGTGAAAGGTGCAATGAATATTGGATGGGATGCCAGCAAGAAATCGGCAATGCCCACTACCCTTCCACAAAGAAATGCTCTCCCACGTCATTTTGAAATATATAGCCATCTTGATATAGCTTCCATTTTCCCTCTAGGGATAGATATGCATATAAGAAATGTTTTACTTTCTCTTTAACTCTTATATTAGTTTCCTATTGCTGCTTATACTTGGTGGCCCCAAACAAAACGAATTAAGTTTCTTGCAGTTCTGGAGGTCAGAGGTCCAACATGGTCTTACTGGGATAAAAATCAAGGTTTAAGCAGGGCTGCATTCCTTCTGGAGGCTCGAGGAAAGCATCCGTTTTCTTGCCTTTTCTAGCTTCTAGAGGCTGCATACATTTCTTGGTTAGTGGTTCCACCGTCCAAGCCAGAAGTGTAGCGTTTTCAAATTTCTCTCCTCTCTCACCCCTGCTTCTGTCCTCTCCTCTGACTCTGAGCCTCCAGCCTCCACCTTTCCCTCCCTAGGACCCTTGTGATTACATAGGGCCCACACAGGATAATCTCACCCTCCCAAATGCTTTAATCACACCTGCAAAGTTCCTTTTGTCATGTAACTTTTTTTTTTTTTAC